TGGGCTTCTGGATTTTGTGGCTATTATTAACCTAGGCACAATATCAACTACTGTTATCATGGCCCCTGATGCATTTTTTCCCCAGTCAGTATTCTATACTAAGCTTAATGAAGCAGAGATTTGGAATCAATGAAATGATGGGCACAAGAAAGAGCAATTGTATAAACTATGCCCTATTTTGTTGCATTTCAACCAAATTCATGTGATGTCGTGGTGTGCCACATTTGGATAAAATGTACAAGTAAATTAGTAATTTTCTTTTGACATATCAGAAGATAGCTGTTATGAACAGAGATTGTTTACATTAATGATAAAGAAAACAGGAGTTATAGTTTTTGTTGCACTAGAAAATTGTCTCCACAGTATTTGTTGTACAGGTGGTTCTCAATTAATGACCATTTGTTCAGTTCAGTGATTGGTCAAAGCTACAATGGTTCTAAAAAAGGCAGCTTATGACCAATCCTCAAAGTTATGGTTGTTGCAGTGTTTTAGAGCAGCACACTATTCAGGCAATCCTTATTTCTCTTCACCTACTGCACACTTATCGTAAAAGAGGTTGGATGAAATATGTGAAAATTGAGGTTTATTTTCATTTAAGATTTCCTATATCCTAATTACCAAAATATGATTATAAGGACAGCAGTTCATTTGGCATGAACATAAAACATATGTACAGTCGTCATTAAAAAAACCAAAGCAACATTTACAGTTATGGATACATCAACGATAGTAAATCCAATAGGAGATTAAATGATTCAAGTTAATATTTCTATTTGATATATACCTATTGTATTTCTGAATCAGTATTCATTCAGAGAGCATAATCATCTAGATCAAATGGATAATTAGCAGAAACATAAGAATGCATTTTTCATATTAGATGATAATAAGGTTTTATACTTCTGCACTTTTATTCAGAAGAGTACAGTTGAGTGGTATGTGATGGCATGGCTAAGGATAATGGTACTTCAAATTTAATCAGCCCCAGTAGTCAGCAAGAATATATGGGATTTGTGGTCATAACTCAATCCATATGTATTTAATCTGGTTGAAATGTTAGAATAATTTGAATTGAATTTTAATATGAGTAAGAGACAATTAACTAGCAGCAAATTATTCCTGGAATAGGTTTTAAATACAAAATCCATAGTATCCACACCGCACCGCGGTTCGCCCACATTACACCCATCCTCCGCGAGCTGCACTGGCTACCTGTCGGT